AGGCTCCAGGCTCTGAGCTGGCAGTCAGCACAGAGCCCGACGTGGGGCTTGAACCCACCAACCGCGAGATCATGACCTAAGCGAAAGTCGGATGCTTAACCGACTAAGCCACCCAGGCGCCCCAAATAAAAATATTTTTTTAAAAAATGTAAAAAAAAATAAATTTTTTTATATTTAATGCAAAAGCTTTTTGCAATGCTAAAAGAACAGAGTATAAGCAGCATCTCACTTTAAAATCTATGAATGTCCTTGTCCCATCACAGAAAACATATTAAATATTTTATAATATAGTCAAAGTTAGAACCATAATCAAGCCAAAAGCTGTGTTTGAGTATAAATAAAAACTTCAAAATTCAAATGTTGCTTTTGGCCGAAAGTGGATATATATATAAGCCAGGCCTTGAGGACTGTCTTGGAGTTTCTTCCTATAGAGTAAAGCTTTTGGTCAGTTCCCTGGTTGGCAGAGTAGCATCTTATCCAATGACTACAACTCATTTATCAATCGGCCTTTTGAGCTTGTAGACTGAAAAGGACTTGGATCAAGAGCCAATAGGGAGGCGCCTGGGTGACTCAGTTGGTTAAGCATCTGACTTCAGCTCAGTTCATGATTTTGTGGTTTGTGGGTTTGAGCCCCAAGTCAGGCTCTTTGCTGACAGCTAGGAACCTGGAGCCTGCTTCTGATTTGATTCTGTGTCTCCCTCTCTCTCTGCCCCTCTCTGCTCACACTTTATCTCTGTCTCTCAAAAATAAATAAATGTTAGGATGCCTGGGTGGCTCAGTTGGTTAAACACCCGATTCCTGATTTTGACTCAGGTCATGATCTCATGGTTTGTGAGACTGAGCCCCACATCAGGATCTGTGCTAATAGCGCAGAGCCTGCTTAGGATTCTCTCCGTCTCTCTCTGCCCCTCTCCCGACCGCTTGTGCATGCACTCTCTCTCTAAATAAACATTAAAAATAAAAGTTAAAAAAATAAAAGAGTCAATAGGAAGCACAGGGTAAAACAGAATGAATGAATGTGAAAAACAATAAACAAGTAATGTATGGGGTTTGTGGGTGAGTGAGCAATAAAGGTGAGAGGCAACAGAGGGCACAGGGTGAGGAATGGCTATTATCAAAAAAGTAATGGTCATGTACCCCAATGTTCATAGCAGCACTCTCAACAATAGCCAAAACATGGAAAGAACCTAAGTGTCCATCAACGGACAAATGGATCAAGAAGATGTGGTTTATCTATACCATGGAATACTCCATGGCAATGAGAAACAATGAAATCTGGCCATGTGTAGCAACATGGATGGACATTGAGGGTGTTATGCTGAGCGAAGTAAGTCAGGCAGAGAAGGACAGATAACATATGTTTGCACATATAGGAGGACTGGGAAGAACTTAACGGAGGACCATGGGGGAGGAGAAGGGGGGAAATAGTTGGGGAGAGGGAGGGAGGCAAACCATGAGAGACTCTTGAATGTCAAGAACAAACTGAGGGCAGATGGGGGTGGGGGGAGGGAAAGGAGGTGATGGGCTTTGGAGGAGGGCACTTATGGGGATGAGCATTGGGTGTTACATGGAAACCAACTTGACAATAAACCATTAAAAAAAAGAGTAATGGTTAAAAAAAAAAGCTAGGGTCAAAGGTGCTGCAACAGAGGTATAATTATAGTTAGCTACCTAAAAAACCTATATAATTAAAAAAAATTTTTAATGTTTATTTATTTTTGAGAGAGAAACAGACAGAGCACAAGTGGGCAGGCACAGAGAGCGAGAGACACAGAATCCGAAGCAGGCTCCAGGCTCTGAGCTGTTAGCACAGGGGGTCTTGAACTCATGAGCCATGAAATCATGACCTGAGCTGAAGTTGGTTGCTTAACTGACAGAGCCACCCAGGTGCCCCAAAACCTAGAAGAATTTGTGTCCAAATGTAAAAAACAAATAGTCTCATAAAAAAAAGTGGTTATCCATGCTCAGTTAACCACGTAAAAATTTCAGAAAAACAGAAAAAAGAAATAACCCAAAACAAAACCTTGTATTCCCATCCCAACATCCACAGGTAAACAATGCTAATTAATATTTTGGTAATTTTGTTTCGTCTTTGTTTTCTTTGTTAAATTTTCAAATAGCTGAGACTAAAAAATCCTCAATTTACATAATTTAAATTAAATTTAACGAATAAGCAATATATTAACATAATTCCAAACCTAAAATGTATAATATTCCTTTAGTTTGGTTCCTTTCTCACATTGTTCCAAGGATATGAAATGTTTTAAAACTTGGCCTTCAGATTTTGTCTCATGCAAAGGAACTCTAGTGAAGAAAACGAAATACCACCAACGTACTGTCATCTTAATTCCTCCAATTAGCTGCTTCATAAAAGCACACGTTAGAGGAAAGTCCTGACATTATTAAACCAGTATCAAGTGTTGAAATACCAAAACTTGTTTTTTTATGACAAACAGAAGAGTAAGGCAGCAATACGGGCATGGAGACAAATTTGGTGAAACAAACAAACAAACAAACAAAGGCAAGTGACAAAGTACTGCAGCTGGTACAAAACTAAGAACATACAGAGACACAGAGAAGGCTGGTTCCAAGGATCCTTCACCAGCCTCTCAATTTCTGAGTTAAAGATCATAGCCAGTTAGGGTAAACACTTGGAAGGAAGGGTGAATAGCCTTTTTTTGTTTTTAACGCCCCCCCCGCCGCCCAGAGAAAATGGCCTTTAGTACAGGAAAATGGGAGGTAATTGTTAGAAGAAATGAAATCTTTTCATATTTATACCCCCTAAATGTAGATTTCTTAAAAAAAAAAAATCAGTTATTCTCGCTCGTGGTTTAATATTTTCCCTTTGCTAGATACTTTCAGTCCCACAAAAAATATTTGCCTTCCTTAGATAAACCAAATATAGATAGCACAACAATGAATTCTCTCAAAATATCTTGTTACTATTCGATTTTTTATTGTCCAGTACAACATAATAGAGAAAAATGTATAAAACATAAACATAGATTTTCAATGAAATATTATGAGGACATTTGTGTGACCATTAAGGACATGAAGAAATGTTTCCAGACCGCTGAATCCTCCCTTCCCTTCTAGTAACACGCCTCTTCCCTTCCCTGAACAAAGCAATCACTCTTCTAACTCTTGTGCTAATCCTCTTTGTTTTAATTTAACCATTTAAGCATGCATGTCCAAACACTGTGGCTTAATATAGCCTATTTTTTCTTCACGTTTATAGAAATGAAACAACACAGATCCTTTCATGACTGCCTTCAATTGCTCGCTATCACTTATGAGAATCAAATTATAGCGTGCAGGTGTAGTTTGCTTTCATTCATGTATAATATTTCATTTTAGAAGTATATCGCAAGATTTTTTTTTAATTAAAAAATTTTTTTAATGTTTTGTTTTGAGAGAGAGAGACAGACTGAGACAGAGAGAGAGAAAGCAAGCATGAATGGGAAGGGACAGAGAGACAGGGAGACATAGAGTCGGAAGCAGGCTCCAGGCTCTGAGCTGTCAGCACAGAGCCCAACGAAGGGCTCGAACTAATGAACTGCGAGATCATGACCTGAGCTTAAATCAGATGCTTAACCGACTGAGCCACCCAGGTGCCCCTACAAGTTGTTTTTACATTTTATTATCAGTGGACATTTGGGTTGTTTCCAATTTTGTTCTATTGTTAGTAAATATTGCTGCTACAAGCATATTTGTATATGTCTCCTGATAACCATGTATACATGTTTTTGTTGAGTATATACCAAGTTCCGGACATGCTGGCACATTGGTATCCTTATCTCTAGGTTTCATGGATTATGCTAAACTATTTACAAATATTTTTTAAAGTAATCTTTATGCACAACATGGGGCTGGAACTCATGACCCCGAGATCAAGAGTTGCGTGCTCCAAGGACTGAGCCAGGTGCCCCCATTTGTTATGTATTCCTTAGTGAACTGTCCAGTGCTTTTGTAGATCTTTTACTGAGTTGTTTTTTTCTCTTTTTATAGAAATTAAAAAAAAAATTCCAGGTGCATGGACAGTTTTAAAGAATCTCCCCTTCCTCTGAACAATAGCAATAACAAAAGAAAATTCAAATACCTAGTCAGGATCAAACACCGGGTGTACAGAGACAGACATATGTAGTTTATTTACAAACTCACCCTGCTCAGAGTCTTCCAACAGAACCCCTCTTTTAACCAGCTCTTCTCTTGGTTTTCGCATAGATATTTTCCGCTCTAAAACTAATATTAAATTGGGAAACACTCAGAACTGTGGCAGTTAAAGGTCAATGTTAAGCATTCTAACTTGACAGGCAAAAGAATAATGTGGTTCAATTTTCTATTCTCTGGAAAGAAAGAACAGGAAGATTAACTTTAAATTTAAACTTAATTTCTTTCATATCCTGTGATACTGGGAAAGAAGCATTTCCAAAAGGAACTATCCTTATATAATTTTACCTCTTTCTTTTTAAATTGGCATTTCAATAATAAGGTATTTATAAATGAACTTTCCTAAATGGTCAGAGTAGGGAAAAAAGAAGGATCTTAGATTTGCTACCATTCAGGAACTCCATTCACCACTTGATACACTTTAAGCCCATTAAAATAGCAATCTGGGGATGAGGCTATAGTATACAAGGCTTACTGAATGATCACTTGGTTTTATTTCTGAAAGACTGAATTCCCTCTTCAAATAGGGCGTTATAGTAGCTTGGAAAGAGAATGAAAAAGTTAGGTACTTCTAAAATAAGAAACTCTTTAACTTAGAACATATATTTAAATCTTAATATCTCACCTTCTGATGTCTCTTTGAATTTATCACTACTTTTTTTTTTCCGCCATTTCCAGGGCTTGAAGATTTTGCCAAAGCCTGAAAACTTGCTCTTCCTTTTGGTGGGAGGCGTCATGTCTCCTGCTTCCACACTGTCCATGACCATGCCTGGGTCTGCGTTGGGCTGGCCTGCTTCTTCTGTGATACGATGAAAGGCACAAAGGGAAAGGAACAGCCAATTTATTATTTCAGCATAATCTCTATAAGGTCCCTTCCCCTCTCTTCCTGTGGTAGTTGGAAAGGATCAGAGCAATGATAAACAATCATGCAGACAGATTCCTGGACATCACATGGACACCAAACATCAAAATCTGTAACAGATAAATTACGAACAGGGAAAAACAACCAAACCAAACTGACATCATTTTGGGACAAAATTCAATGAGATGATCATAACCAGCTCAAAACCTCTAAAGGGGCACGCACGTGCGCCCGTGCGCGCGCACACACACACACACACACGCATGCACACACAAATACGGAGTCTTTTCCATATGTATGAGATCTTGCCCCGGTGCAGCCTGTTGCTGTTGCCACTGTCATCTTCGTGGCGTCAGGGAGGGCTTCCCCAGCTACCATTACAGCCTCCCATATTACTGAAGCAGGGGGTCCCATCGTTAGTGAGTGAGTCATCATCATTCTCTACTAAACAGCACTCCCTCGGCCCTCCTCTCTTAGGAAGTTAATAGTTCAGACGGGATAACACAGTAAGTGTTAACACCTTATTTATATCTGTTTTTCAGATTATCTTCTTCCTTCACAAGAGCCTAGGTTTGGAGCACTGGAAGGGGCCTGGAGCATTACAGAGAGAGTGCTTTAAAATGAAACCTTTTTGGGGGCGCTTGGGTGGCTCAGTTGGTTAAGTATCCGACTCTTGATTTCATGACCTGTGAAATCAGGTCAGTTTGAGGGGTCGAGCCCCATGTGGGCTCCATACTGAAAACATGGGGCCTGCTTGGGATTCTCTCTCCCTCTCTCTGCCCCTCCCCTGCTCGTGCTCTCTCCCTCTTTTCTTTCTCTCTCTCTGAAAATAAATAAACTTAAAAAAATTTGTTTAAATGAAATCTTTTTGGAAAGCACAGGTGAGATTCCAGTTTGCCTGTGACAATACTGTTTTAGGGACAATCCTGATCTTAAGGATAGGACAAGAAACATAACTGACATGTTGTATGTGCAGGACTGAAACGAGTGGCCATGAGTCCCTCATAATGACCACACATGCAGGGTTTTCGTTAGTGAGCTTTAGTGGCAGAGAAAGGAGCAGCCAAAACTGGGCCAAAAATAATAATAATAATAAAATAAATAAATAAAAGCAGGAAAGCAACAAAAAAAGCAGGAAGGCAACACAATACAGCTTTGCACTCCACCTACTGTCCCAGGGTTCTCTGGAGAAGTCTAGAGGAGAAGAAAAAAAGAGTCATGTGGAATAACCATCCTGAAATTAAAGTGGAACCTTTACAGAAATACATCCAGGACCACACACTATATTATCACATGTAATAAGTTAACATGTTTATTGTACACATCTGAAGCAAATAACACTCTTTTTGGGCAGGATAAACAGGCATAACATATGTACTTAAAAATTATTTCCTTTAATACTGTAGATATTTTTTCACAAAAGAAAATACATAATTCACAAGCATTAATTTTTTTAAAAGAAACACTGCAAAGTCCAAATCTGTCTTTTTTGGTTGATAAGCGGGGGTCTTAGGGAAGCCTGCTGATGAAAGTCAGACTTTACACAACTGTCATTTTTTGAGTGCAGCAGTGACTGCTGGAGGCATTATTCTACTGTGTATTGACCACGGGCCAAACAGGGTCCGGGCCAAACAGGGTCCTGGTTACCAAAATGCAACAGATCGAGAAGAGAGGACCATGCCTCTTTCCTTCCTGGGTGCAGGATTTACTCGAACACATCCTGAGTCTCAACTACTTTAATTCCTTCCATGATATGCAAGAGAATCTCACTGTTCGAACACTGACCAGATTTTTAGAAGTTTACTTGCCACAGACATCAGAACATCTGTGACAAAAATTCCCATAGTGGTGCCTGGGATGGACTCCCAGGGGTGGCACATGGTGAATATATGGTGTTGCTTATTCATTCACTTATTTAATTAAAAAATTTTATTTATTTTTGAGAGAAGGAGACGCAGAGTGTGAGCTGGGGAGAGGCAGACTGAGAGGGAGACAGAGAATCTGAAGCAGGCTCCACGCTCTGAGCTGTCAGCACAGAGCCTTGAACCCACGAGCGATGAGATCATAACCTGAGCTGAAGTTGGATGCTTAACTGACTGAGCCACCCAGGTGCCCCTTGTGTTTCTTCTTTAATGTTTTGTTTTGTTTTGTTTTGAGAGAGAGAGAAAGATAGAGACAGAGACAAAGAGAGAGAGAGAGAGAGAGAGAGAGAGAGAAAGCCTGAATGGGAAGGGACAGAGAGACACAGAATCCAAAGCAGGCTCTAAGTTCTGAGCTGTGAGCACAGAGCCTGATGTGGGATTCAAACCCATGAACCATGAGATCGTGACCTGAGCCAAAGCCCAACGCTTAACCACTGAGCCATCCAGGCGCCCCACATGGTGTTGCTTTTAAGAGCCAGTGCTTTAAGACAGTATTCTCCCAATCATGAAATGTCAATGAGACCGCAAGACATTTCAGATATATCATAATATTTAGCATACGGTAATGACAATGCTTTCAGAAATGGAGCTAAGTTCCATAAGCAGTGCATAGTCGCCTTCCTTGCTAGAGGCAAGGAGAGACTGAAACTTGAAATCTCCTGCTGACCCACCCACTGAATGAACTTCACTACTCAGTTCCAAATGACAGAGAGGAAAATGTTTGTTTGATTAAAAGCACCAAGGAATGTAATATAAAAACTCAAAAGCCAAAACAACTAACAATATGAAAGAAGATGTGAGTGCTACGTGATATTTTTTACAAAGAAAAGCAGCCAGAAAGCTACAGGAATGTTATTAGGTGAGAATGGATTCACAGACAAGTCCTTGAACGAAACAGCCTATCTAGCTTGCTCTCTCACCACCTTGCCAGGTGTCTAATCACATTCTGAAGGTAGAACTTAGCTCATTCCCTTTAATTCTTCCTTTTATTCAACAATATATTTATATGTCCCCTTCCTCTTAAACATTCAAAACAGTAAAATCATGATACCCTTTCAAATATTTATGCCCGCTAGCTATATGAGCTTAAGACAAGTTCAGCTTATATTCAAAAGTACAGTGTATGTGGAAAATGCCAATAGCTATAATAAAAACCAATGTATCTACCATCACATCTATTGCTAAGGATAGCCCTCTTCTTTCTTTGTGTAAAGTTACTGAATATGGTCATTGAATATGAACAGCAGAGAGAGGGGGCACCTGGTTGGCTCAGTTGGTTAAGTGTCTGACTCTTTTTTTTTTTTTTCTTAAATGTTTTATTCATTTCTAGGAGAGAGAGAGACAGCGTGAGCAGGGGAGGGTCAGAGAGAGAGGGAGTCACAGACTGAAACAGGCTCCAGGCTCTGAGCTGGCAGTCAGCACAGAGCCCGACGCGGGGCTCGAACCCACGAACCACGAGATCATGACCTAAGCAAAAGTCGGATGCTTAACCGACTAAGCCACCCAGGAGCCCCAAGTGTCTGACTCTTGATTTCAGCTCAGGTCATGATCTCATAGTTCATGAGTTTGAGCCCTACATTGGGCTCTGCGCCAAAGCCTGCTTGGGATTCTCTCTCTCTTTGCCTCTCCCCCATTCAAAATAAATAAAGATTAAAAATATTTTAAATAAAAAATAAATTTAAAAAGAGGAGAGCAGATTTTTTTCTTTGATATTTTATATAAATATGCTTAATTTTCATGTTTATAAAACTTTTAGAAGCAGATATGCCTCTTGCCTTATGCAGTGGGGGGTTTAGCCACACCCAGTCCTGACCTAACTATTATTCCAAATTCATTCATTCTTATAATATTCTCATATATTCTTATGTTCTCCACACTCATCCCCCTCTACATGACAAATACAACATTCCAGTAACTCCTAAATCCATTCAAATACTTGGTATCAGCCCAGTTACCTTTTCAAAATACAGAATCTCCAGGTGGTGGGACCCAGAAATCTGTTTTTAAAAATCTTCACAGGTGATGGGGTGCCTGGGTGGCTCAGTTGGTTAAGCGTCCGACTTCGGCTCAAGTCGTGATCTCACGGTTCATGGGTTCCAGCCCCGCATTGGGCTCTGTGCTCACAGCTCAGAGCCTGGAGCCTGCTTTGGATTCTCTGTCTCCCTCTCTCTCTGCCCCTCCCCTGCTCATCCTGCCTCTCTCCCTCTCGTAGAAATACATAAAACATTAAAAAACATTTTTTTTTAATCTTCACAGGTGATTCTTATGATCAGCCAGGTTTGTTGAACCCCATCGCAGATTATTATCTGGAAATCTTATACATGTTGAAAGAGACAGGCAGACCTGCTCTGTCTATAACCTAATTCTTTGTTGAAGAAAAATAAAGCAGAAAATCCTAACATCATTCAGGGTTTCCTACTTAAGCATAAGTATTTCTACAGAAGAACTATAAGGGTCCTTCCTGCCCAACTTAGTTTCAGATAAAGTTTAAATTAAAAATAAACAATAAAAAAGTTTGTAGTTTTGTATATTATGCAGTTGAGTGTAGTGTTCTACACATGCCATTAAGTCAAGCTGTTTAATCACATTGTAGAATCATTAACATCCTTTCTGATTTGTTGTCAGTTTGTTCTACCAATTACCAAGAGAGGAATGTTAATGTCTCTATCCAGGAAAATGGATTTGTCTCTTTCACTTTATAGTTCTATTAATTATTTTCTTTTCATATATGTATATTTAAAAAATTTTTGTTTTTGGGCGCCTGGATGGCTCAGTCAGTTAAGCATCCGATTTTAGCTCAGGACACGATCTCATAGTTTGTGAGTTTGAGCCCTGAGTTGGGCTCTGTGCTGACAGCTTGGAGCCTGGAGCCTGCTTTGATTCTGTGTCTCCCTCTCTTCTCTGCTTCTCCCCTGCTCACACTCTGTCTCTCTCTCAAAGATAAATAAACATTTAAAAACAATTAAAAATCAATCAATAAATAATACAATTTTATTTTTAAGTAATCTCTATACC